AAGTGTTATATTAATTTCGTAGAGATTTGAATAAAATTATTCCCATAATTATTGTAACAAAATTACTATTACTAACTGATTGACTTTTTACTTCTGCAGTAAAAAAGAAAAGTGGTTGGGAAACTGCTGGGTGTCACAAGCATTAAAACCATTTTTTGGGTGGCTTTGACTTTGACTTTGACTAAGGTTAAGTGAGATTTGTCTTTTGCAACTGAATACAACTTACGTCAAATTTAAGTTGGTTCGACCACATCCGTAGTCCATGGATGTGAACATTATCCAACTTGCTTTTACGCTAGGGTAAATCATTGGACTAGACCTTGCATTTATTTGGGGTCAAGGTCTCTCAATGTAACGTTGAATCTCAACATTTCATCTTGGTTCTTAATTAACAAGGCTCACATGTTTTGATGTCATCCCAAGTCTTAGGATGTCATCGGCCATCATAGCCTGCTTGATCATGCTCATTGAGAACGAACCCACGTGTTGTTCATAATATCAGGACATCTCAAACATCAATCTATCTAGGTTTTATCGAGCCATTGAATCATCTCGTATCCATGCCAAGTCATTTACGACATCCGTTTCGAATAGTGGTGTATATTCTAACCTTTGGCACATTAGCGAGAGCGCAATGTTGACATACTCGTGTCGTTGGACACTGTCCTTGAAGACCCATTTTAAAGAAAGTCACTCGAGACACTTGTTTCACAACACTTACTTGTCCCTTACTGTGACACACGCATGTGTCACAAGGTAGGTTAGGCTAAAGAGTCCAAGGGTGGTGGAGAGCTGACATCATGTGTCCCCTAAGATATAATTTGAAGCATTTCTAATCTAGCATGTGTTTTTGGCAAACGGTCATACGATATTGTGAAGCGTTCATCTAGTATCCGACTGATACCAAATTTTGTGAGCTTTCATCTTTCATATGGATGAACTTAGCTCCGGAGTTGCATGCTTTTCTCTCACTCAACTCGACTCCTTCCTATATCAATTATTTTTGAATTCCACGTAAAAGTAATCCATATAAATAATAAAGAGATATTGACCCATAAATTTAAAGTTAGGATGTATTTGTAGTTGATACAAGAGTCTATCACTATGTGGATGTGTTTGTAATTGAAACACCCCACGTTGTGTGATGAGAATCTAAAACTCCACACATACATGATCCAAGTTGATTTCACAGGCAGAGAAGCAAGAGAAAGAAAAAGGAAGCAAATGAATAGATCTTGGAAAACAAAGTGGGAGCAAGCATCTGCAGGGTGTGGAATGTGTCGAAGGGGAATCATCAGCATTCGAGGAGGAGGCCAGGGGTGTTCACCAACCATTCGGCATTCCCTTTAATATCTATATTATGTCTCTACCCATTACCCAACACTATGGCCTTTAAAGTGGGCGAACTATCCCTAATTTCCCGCTTCCTTTCCCCTCTTTTGTATTCCCATTTTGGTTCTCACACAACCTTTCCCGGAACCCTTTTCACCCCCCCTCGTGTGCCTTTCCTAATCAATCGCTTTTCTTGTGTGCAAAAAGGTTTAACTTTTGGTTCATCTTTTTTTGTCCAATTGCTGTCCCCAGACAAAATGAAAAATATGTCCTATGGTAAACCAAAAAGGAAGGCTTTTCTTTCTTCCCACGTATTGGATTCTTCAATCTAAGATCTCCCATTAGTTGAAGAGGAGAACGAAACCATTTAGCCATTCCTCATAACCCATTGCTGAAGCTCTTCCTTTCACACCACCTCGTTGGGCTTGACCGGATTTGAATAAACTCTAAACCTTAGACCCTAAACTAAGAATAAGAAGATCCATAATTATAATTAGGATTCAGGAGGGCCCATTGGGCTTGGGCCGGAATGAACCCGAAAACCATACATGGACTGTAAGGCCCAAGTCTGCGGTCCGGATAGAGACCATCGAGAGAGGAAAAGTCATAATTAATGGGCGGAAGTGACATTAAGAGTCTAACATTAAGAGTCTAAGAAAGAATGCTAATTATAGTTTTATAATGCTAATTAGGGTTAGTGAGTGTCAACATCTACAAATAAAATACAAATAAAATAAAGTGAGTGGGAGGAAATTAGGAATTGATAAATCTTGATTATGAATTTTTAAATATATAAAAAAAGGTGGTGTGGATTGGAAGGTCGTCGGGTGGCATTTGTCGTGGCTTGGATTTCAATCAACCCTTTTATGACCTCCTCCTTTTCTCCCCAACCCTAAATAATAATAATAATAAATTAGGTTTTAAAATATTCACCCAACCAAATTCAACCTCATTTTTATATTTATAAATTATCTGATAAAAAGAGATTTGTTTTTATATTTATAAGAATAAATATATAAAGGGAGAGATGGAGTACAAATTCAGATAAATATGATAATAATTATCATGGGAAAGGTATGTCACATGGATTGAAATTTGAATGGCTAATTAAATGCCTCCGTTTGAATATAATAATACATAATGTGCATATTTATGAATATAATATGTATATTATGTGACTCTACACTTTAATTAACATATTGATGTCATTGCTTACGTACATATTTAATACTCGTCCTCATATAAACACGCCCTTTTCAAATTATTGCTTCACTTTTTTCAAATTTAATCGACCCTTAAATCTAATTCAAAATTATCCCACCATTAAAGGTCTATCATTCTAGAACATGGTAACATTTTTAATTTGTCGGCAACTTAGATTAACATATAGAGATATCAATTTCACCCACAGGGAGGAGATTCCTATTTATTCAGAGAATGAAAGAGGGAGTGAACAACATTTTTTCACCTGTTAGATAAATGGGGTCGGAGACGAAATTATATTCTCTGTCGCTGTCCCATTTTATGTTTTGTTCGAGAGAATGATCGTGGAATCCCTATATGATTTCTTGTATTATGTTAGTTCGTTAAATCTAAATTGATATTATAATTGAGTTCACATTAGAAGGGGGAATATGTCAAATATATTAAATGATTAAATTAAGTTTAGGGTATTAATTAAATGGTAGTGTAGAGAATTAGGCCCAAGATACACATATTATATCAATATATAGAACATAAAAATGAGTTGTTTTTGTATGCATATGATTGTCTTAGTATATTTGAGCATATAAAATAAACATCTTAGCCGCCACACGTAAACAAAATTTCCTTGCACAAGGTTTTTCACTTTTTTTAAGGAAAATTAGTTTGTTGTTTTGCAATAATTAAAATATATTTTGGAGAATGTTTGGAAGATTATGTGGATAATGTTCGTTGTCTAAATTAATTATTATTTTGTTTTTGTTCTATGAATTAGTTAAGTTATATGATATATTGTTAATGATAGAGATTAAATTACCCAAAGTAAAACTATAATATAACCTCAAAATGGAAGAATTTTCCATGGCAACTATTTGATAATTGGGTTGAAATGTTCTTGAGTGAATATATTATATAATATTTACAAATGATGTCAAACTTTTCTTGATTCAAATCTTAAATAAATGAAACTTGGTCTTATTGGAGCAACATAATTGAGTGTTAATTACTTCATTACTTTTCAACAACCACGTGATTACATTGATTAATTAGCACAAAGATCAATTTAACCACCACTAGTAGATATTGTTCTCTTTGACCCGTTACATATCACTGTTAGCTTCACGATTTTAAAATACGTATGCTAGGGTGACGTTTCTACACCCTTATAAGGAAAACTTTGTTCTCTTTCCAACCGATGTGGGATTTCACAATCTCCCTCTATTGGGAGCGAGCGACCTCACTAACACACCGTTTGGTATCTAGCATGTCAAAATTTAGTGCAACTTATTGATAGTTCTGGTACGTAGTATGGCAAAATTTAGTGCAACTTTTTGATAGTTTGAATTAGCCATATATTCGTAATCAATTAATATTCGGAGAATATATTAGTTATAGAATATATCTTAGATTTCGTTAATATTTTCCTCTTCATATTTGATTTGCAGTATATTTTAAACGTTGTGAATATAACAATCTCAATTCTATTTCTTAATTCTTAAATTTGTATTAGGTTGAGTAATAATATTTTCATATCTATTCACAGCGGTTAAATATTGCTAGCATGTATTGTTTGCTTTGGTTCTTAAATTTTTAAGATGCGTCTATTAGGGAGAGATTTTCACATTTTTTTCAAGAATGTTTCGGTCTCTTCTCGAACAGACGTGGGATCTCACAATCCACAAACACTTCTACTAGGGAGAGATTTTCCCAGTTTTTCAAGAATATTTCAGTCTCTCTCGAACCGATGTGGGATCTCACAATCCACCTTCCTTAGGAGATGAGTGTCCTCCTCAGTGTCTAGCTCTAATGCCATTTGTAACGGCTGGGTGGTTCTATGTCATCAAGATAGGGTTGATTATGTGGAAGGGTCGAGGGGGAGAATGAGATATAATGAGTAATAATGGGGGGAGACAAGAATGGTCCAAGTGGAGAAGGAGGAACAGTAAGAAGGCTGTAGAGTGGTACAGATGATGTCTAATCCAAACAAATATTGATATAATGTCCACACCACACCACACCACACCAAGACGGGGAAATGAGGGACTCCTTCCTTCTCTTCTTCCTCAAAAAAAATCACTCAAACAGGAATCTGATTCTGACACTTTACTACAAATATTATATTATATTTTTTTTATGGGTTTTGAATTTGCCTTTGTTTTTTGGTTGGAATTACATGGGATGGCTGTTTTTTAGTTGGAATTACATGGACAAAAAAATGTGACAGAAAGCACCCATTTTTATTGATGCTTTCTTTGCTAAACCCCAACCAAGTCTGAGCCAAACTGTCCATAACAACCTTCTTCTTCTTCTTCTTTTTCTTCTTCTTCCAATTCACTTCCACTTCCATCCCAAATTTTTATGTTTACAACCAAACCCATCTCTTCCAATGGATCAAATGGGAAGAATTGTTAAAGATGGATAATTTTGAGAGATTGATGAAGAGAACAAAATTGGAAACAAAGGAATTTGTTGAATGAGAGTCGATTAAGGGAAATTGGAATCCAAAATACAAATTTACAAGTGACCCTTTTCAGGGTTGTTGTCATAGGAGGCAATAGTGTGTAGACTCACCAAAAGCAGCAACATGAGTGTCATGATTGTGAGGCAAGCTTTGTTGGGAAGCTTCAAAATCTGAAGAAACAAGCGGAGGAGGATAAACCAAAGAGCTACTACTTTCAGCTGAACTACTTCCCATCCCATACAAACCCTCCATCCCATTTTCAAATCTATTCTGCAATGGATCTCCAAATTCAACAACTCCATGGAACATTCCGGCTGTCGGATCCTCCACTCCAAATTGCATGTACTCTGCTGAGAATTCACCAAGATTTGAACTTTCAAACAGTAATGGATTTTGATGGGGTTGTGAAATGCTATTCTCCATTTGGGTCAATTGAAATGGAGGATCAGAACAACAAAACCTGCCACCCATTTTCATGATCAAATCCCTAAATTCTTGGCCGCTTGTGTTGGGATTTGGAAAATATGGGGTTTGGTTGAAATTCATTGAAGAAGCTCCATCAGGATGAATAACATTGAAATTCTTTTCAATATCATCCCTTTTTAGTGTTGTAGTATGAGTATGAGGTTGGTTTAGGGTATGGATTCGCCTAGCCAGAGCTGCTTGTTCACGTTGCTGTTTTCCCAGAAGCTTCTTCTTTAATCTCGTGTTCCAGTAGTTTTTTATGTCGTTATCGGTTCTTCCCGGTAGCTGAGCTGCAATTATGGACCATCTAAACAAAACCCATCTCATAAATTCAGCTCAAATTGATTCATTAATTATGAATTTTCAAGAAAGGTACTAAATTTACCTGCTTCCTATGCTTATGTAGAGACTACAAATGATGTTATCTTCTTCCTCCGAGAACCCTCCATGTTTGATGTTGGGGCGGAGATAATTCAGCCATCTCAATCGGCAACTCTTCCCGCATCGCTTAAGGCCTAAGAATTTCAATTTGGTGAGTTCAAAATCAAGGATACAAAAATTTGATGGGGGTGATGTAAATAAAAAATTTGGTACCTATTTTCTGAGGCAAGGCAATCCAGTTGCCGCCGGTGCCGAATTGCTCAATATAAGCTTTGAGTTTGGCATCTTCCTCAGGCGACCAAGGTCCTTTTTTGACGTTGGCTTTGTCACAACACGGAGCTCTTCCCATGTTCTTTCTCTTTTGAGGTTTGAGCTATTTGTTTGGTAATACCAAGATAATGGTTAGGTTTATATATATATATATATATATATATATATATATATATGCACATAAAGGAAAGAAGGAAAAGAGAGAGTAGTAGCTGGAGGAGAAGAGAACGCATGAAACAAAGTGTCACAGGATTTCAAAAGTGGGTTTTGGAAAAAGATCCCAACTTTATGATTTAATAATTAAAGAAAATTGAAATTTGCATGTATAGGCATATTTATTTAGTGGGTTAAAATTATTAGAAGAGTGATAAGAAGGGTTTGTTGGAAAAGGAAGAATGGTTGGAAAGTGAGAAAAGTATGAAGAATATAATGATATCATGGGTGTTGGTGTCCTATGGAAAGGGTTTAAGGGGATACCCACTTAAGTCTCCCTTTTTTTTTCTTTTTTTTTTTTGAAAGGGGTTGAAGTGGTGAAGAGCAGCAGGGGTTTGTTTTGTTTTTGGATTATGAACAATGTTAATTATGCTCTTGTCCTCTCTTCATTTAATTGTTGTAACTTTTTTGGTTTCAACCAAAAACCACTTACCCCATTCCCCATATTGCTCGCTCATAAATCCAACACCTATTTTCAAATCTGTGTGGTCAAATCAGTGAAAAGGGAAATCAAAATAGAATATAGGGTAGAGATGAGTTAGAGACTGACACTATGTGTCCTAAACCAAAAATAGTTTTACAGACATAGATCTCTCCCCTGATTTTGGTCTTGTTTTTTTTTACACCAACAACTTCCTCATTTCTTACTCAGCTAGAGGTTAGGAATTATGTATGATATTGTCCACTTTGAGCATATGTTTTCATGACTTTGCTTTATCTTTTTTCGTAGGTCTTGTATTAGTGGAGATATATTCCTTACTTATAAATTCTTGATCAACCTTTTAATTAGTTGACGTGGGACTCTTTGATGTTTAATTATTTTCATGGAATGTTTGGTTTGTGGTAGTGCATTTTGTTTGATGTGTAAGTTTGCAGAATTTTGTATCCAGTAGTCCATCATTCATCACAAACTAATTTATAAATTCAACAAGTTGTTAGATCACCTTTGAGCATTGTTTTAGTGAAACATGCACATCCATGTCTTTCAATTCTAAAATCTTGCAAAGGATGAATAAAACTACGAAATATGAAAATGACATCTTACTATATATATATATATCCAATAAATAGAAGGAAGAAGGTAAGACAATGTTTAAAAACAAAGAGATATGAATATAAATGGGTAAAATTTGGTTAAGGTTGGTGACCCAATGTGAAGAAACAATTGAAATAGGTGTAATTGGGATAACAATACAATAATGGAATGGAAAGGGAAAGGGAAAGGGAAAGGAAAACGATAATATAATAAGTTAAAGACAAAGGAAAAAGTTTGAAATTATGGGAACAATAATGGGACTAGAAGAAGAGATATTTGAAAGGAAAGAGATATATATATATATATATATATGTATATGTATATGTATATTGATGGGCAATACCCAATAGACAAATGGCACATGGCAATGCCCAAAAAGTGAGTGAGTAGAAATCTTGACAAAGATGCAGTGTCTTTGTTTCTTTGTTTATGATGAGAATTGGTAGCACAAGAAAACGAGGCAGGCAGCCACTGTCAAATCACTGCGTCACCTTATTGGACTTCTTCTTTTCTCCTTTCCTTCCATTATCCCCTCCTTTCTCCTTTATTGTTAAATTAATTCATCCTTTCTTTTCTTAATAATAATCCATTTTGAAGATTCATTCATATATATATATATATCATAATATGCCTATGCTGACTTGACTCCCCATTACATGACATTCAAATCCCCATTACATGACATTCAAAGTCAAAAAAGCTTTAATATTATAACACTGCTACATTGGGATCACAACTTTTCTTTCTTTTTTTTTTTGAATTTTCACCTTCCTTCCTTCCTTCCTTCCTTCCTTGCTTGCTTCCTTCAAATGTTCATCTTTGTTGTGTTTGTTTGTGCTGTGGGATGCATACTGCCTTTTGAATATTTGGTTCTTCACACTCTCCATATATGGCCCAGATCTGATATGCTTTTTCTCCAACTTTTTCAATTCCTGTGACAAGTTTATGTAACTATCATGGACTAAGTTTTAAAACGCATCTACTAGAGAGAAAAAAAAAGAAGGTTTCGTTCTCATCTCCAACAAATGTAGGATCTCACAATCCATCCCTCTTACAATCCATCTCTCTTAGGGGTCAGTATCCTTACTGACACACTGTTTGGTGCCTGGCTCTGATACTATTTGTAACAACACAAGCCCACCAGTAGTGGATGTTGTCCGTTTTGACTCGTTACGTATCGCTGTTAGCCTCACAGTTTTAAAACGCGTCAGAGGTTTTCACACCCTTGTTACGAATGTTTCGTTTTCCTCTCCAACCGACGTGGGATCTCACTATATTTTGATTGATTGATATGCATGTATAGTTAGTGAGCATCTTTTGCTAAATTCAAAGACTAGGTAAACTCCGGCGTCTAAAAACTCCAATTTCTAGATTAGAATTTGACCATTTCAAATCATTTACTCACGAAAACTATGGACATCATCTAGAAACACATTATTAGGTCTTCAAAACAAAGACAAAGGAAAAGCACATCTCATTCATTCGCCACACGTTTCCTAAAAGTAACTAAGAAAACATAAACACGAACACAAACACAAACACACACACATAGTATGTAAGAAAACACGATATTTGGTGGGCATCAATATGATCTCATGCTTAGCTAACAATGGAATCAGTCTTGCAAATTGACTCAAACAAAGGCTGTTGCTGAATAAAGGTAGAGAGTCAGCTAAGGGGGGGTTTTTTATTGATGTTTTAGATCCAGGTGTCCTTTGAGTTAAAAAAGGAGAAAGACCCATCAAATATATGTTTTAAAAAAACAAACTTTTTAAAAGGGATGGTGCAAAGGTCAAAAAATGTAAAAGTTAGCAGAGAGATGAAGACAAAATAAGAAATTTTGAGGATTTCAAAGTGTGAATTAGCTAGGGCTGTGGGTGGATCACAAGATGGAATATGTGTAGCTTATTTTACTTCAAATTTTGACCTACTTTTGGACTCCTAAGGCAACAAGACAAGACTTGAGCAACATTTTTTACGTTATTATTATTATAATGTTGTTGTGATGGTCAATGAAAGATTGATAAGATTGGTTTCCAGCTTTCATTTCATAAATCTTTTCTGACTGATATATGACAGCAGCTTCCTGTGTTTGTTTATTTTAACATTGTTTGTTGTTTGTTGTTTGGTCGTAAAGATATTGGTGTGGTTGCAAAGTATGGGGAATTGTTTTTGTTCTTTCTTTCTTCCTTCCTTCCAACAGTTGTAAAACAGTATCACTACTGCATTACTTTCAACTCATGATTTTATATGCTCATTACATTATTCCTATTGAATTATATGTGTAATATCTGTATTCATATTCAAAATCAATGGTTATTTCCATAATACCATACAAATGTTGATAAGATATGAAAACAACAGGTAAAATTCATACAAAGTTGGATCTCTCATTAGCCGTTTTCGTTCATTTTCAGTTTTAACAAAGAAATTCTGACCGGTCAGTAGGAATGGTTCGTGGAATACGAACACCACGTAACCATGATCACATTTCACAGTTCAATCTGAACCTAGTGTCTCGTTACTTTGACCCTCTGTTCCCCTCTATCGTTCTTCATGGCTAAAAATCAATCGAATATCTATGATGAGAAAACATATGAAGCCCAATGTTGGGATTTCAGGCTTATGTGGAGGACCTTGACTAATATGATGTTTGATTACATGGTGCAATTTAATTTCTTTTGTTATTTTGGTTTTGATGGTATCTAAACAAGAAAACCGTTTTTAAAAGAAGAAAGACATGTTAGAACATCCTATTACTTTTAATTGTAGCATCTATCAACAAAAGGATCCTCCTAAGATGATCATCACATGACTATTGAAATACCCCTACTAGGGGAAGAGCTATGCGGATCAAAAACATGACATTCAAGACCTTATTAATTCAGGAAAACGCCAAAATAGAAGGTTAAGTTGTTGGAGATTTAGAAAAGATTACACGGGTTGAAGCTTGGCTAATAATCGAGAAAAAACATACCCTTTGGTTGCACGCTAGGTAACAGCTAGGCTTGCTACCAGCTTCACAATTTAACATAAGCGTTCCCCCCTCGGTTAGGTTGGAGGGTAAAAGAAACAAGAGAGCATTTCCATCGCAAAGATTTAATCCAACAGAAAGCTTACCTATGACTACCTCCTTACAACTTACAACTTACAACACCCTATTTCCATTAACACCTTCAAAACAAGACCGCGGTGCACTGAATTGAGTCTTGTGGAAAAGAAGAAACCATGAGTTCAAGGAGTTCAAGTCCTACTACATAACATGCTTATAAGCGCCAACTATATTTCACCGACCTTGATTGGAAATGCTGTATCAATTTCATTCAAATTTACACGAGCCCATTAACAAAGTCAATATGGCCAAACTTTTAGAGGAAAAACATTGCTATATTGAATCAATGCACATAATTAAACAATCTAGATGTCTTAAACATGACAATTCAATTATTTTCTAGACCTGTCCAAGTCCATCAAATCCAACGTGTGAACTAAAGTGGTGGCAGTTCACCCAATTCAAAGACAAACTACAGAGTCATATTCCTTGCACGTTCTACTTGCTCAGAGTGCTTAATATGAAGTGCCAGCAAAGGAATTAAGCAACAAAAACAGTTTTTTTTTTATTTATTTTTTATTTGTCGCGCTAGTCATTTCCAGTTCAAACCAAAACATGCAGGAAATCTTAAAATTCTTGGAACGCTGTCCAAAACTATCTACACGGTTAATTTAGATATGAGAAAACTACAATTTCTGGAACTAGCGAAAAAGGTAGAGGGGGGTTTTATAATGTCACCCTATGCCTACGATAGGCTGACAGTCCAATTCATCTTATCTTCGATA